GTGACCGAAAACATTGCCCGGACTCTTTTGGAAGCTTGCAAGCTTGTCTTTCTGTTAAAAATCATTTTTACCACTTGATGGCAGTATTTGAATTTCATACAAAATTCATTTCATACAAAAAAATCTTATGTTGTGTTTCTAGAAAAATTAGTTTTCACAGAAACTGTATTTTTATGATTTCTTATTGCATAGATCCAGTCTACCATATAGTTTGTATTACATCTTTTCAAATGCTGCCTTCCACCTCTGCCCAGTCCTGCAATCCACACTGATTATAGTTTAATGGTAAAACAAAAAAACTTGTAAAATGTAAAAATGCTACAGTAACAACCTGTTATGTGCTTAAGAGTACATTCACTTACTTTATATGGTGAAAAACTGATCTATCAGGACATTAAATGTAATTTTATGGTAAAATACTGAAATTGACAGGTTTTGGAAGTAAAAAGATCAAGTCCACTTATAATTGACATTACCTATTCCCTGTGAAACATTTCACATTTGATGGCATTTCATTTAAATAATTGTGTTTTTATTAGGTTTTGTTATAAGTTATGTACATGATGGTGTTATGTTACATCTTATGTTGTTAAATTAATGTTTATTGTATAGTGTCATGTGTTACCATGGTGTTTTGTGTTTGTGTTTTTGACACTGTTCACCTTCTATATATTAGGATTTACCTCAGCTTGTGGAAAAGTTAATGATGAACTTCTCCATGTGTCTTTCTCTTTAACACGCTCAGGTGCGTTTTTTGGTATTTTCGCCTAAATTTGACATACTCAAATTCAAATGTTTACCCTACACACATACAATGGAGGAAATGAAAAAAAATGGTTTCATTGTAAAGAAAACCATTTGAACTTCAAAATATGAGTGTAATTCTTTATAAATAACATTATATATTTTTCAAATATTACAATAAACACAAAAAAAACATAGGCGCTTTTTGATTTTTTTTTTTTTATATATTTTTTTAAATCTGTAATTCAGGTTCTATTAGGTCCAGCTTACAGTCCTTTTCTGTCAATAAACAGTTTTATCAGATTGTTAGCTGTGCTATCACGTTTCAAAATAAAGATTCAAAGATCACAAACGGAGAAAACACGCTGATAAAGCCTCACCAGACGCGCGTCCATTCCTCTCCATGGCGCCGCTGAACGTTCTTCATCATATACAACTTGTAATATGATTATCATAGATTGATATTCTCCGAGCCGCATTTGCTTTTCCGCGTGGCCGTTCTGCTTTCAAACCAGTCCGAAACTACAAGTCCCAAAGAACAACAGGCTGCGAGGAGCGCTGTCCCGGATCCGGATACGTGTCAGCCCCCTCGACCACCCTCCCTCGCTGTTGACGCAGAGGTGTCAAATTTCACAGCTCTGACTGGCCCAGCGTGAGTGTGTGTCATAAAACCTGACCAATTGCAATCGGCAGACTCATCAGAGTTGTAAAAGATCAGAATTGCCTGGCATTAGAGTTGACTTGGAGAGCGCGTCTGTGGCAGAAAGTGCGCATGTTTTCTCTGGTGCGCATCTGGACAAAACACTATATATCTCACCGATGGAAGCACGCAGAAACGTGAAAATGGTCTTGTTTGAAAGAAGAGATCCTAATCTAAAAGATAATATAGAGTATA